TTAGCATAGTATACAACTTTAAACGGTGTTTATATGACGTGTAATATTTTAGCCGTTATCACTTTGTTCCCATTTCTTGTCTTACTGATTTGACTACTCTAGATCTGTTACTAGATATTGTTTGCTCGAAACTTTGTCATACTCCAACCTCGATTGGGGGGNATATAAAGAATCTGAATCATATAGGTGGAAATGTACATGTAAGCGGTGCTTCTTCAATTTTGCTCGGATTCAAGGATTCAAAGCTTGTCTTCATTATACAAAACAGATTAAAATTAAGCTAAGTGTTCCTTCTAGTAAGCAGCAAGTGACTAGGTATGATCCCGATCACTGCCACAGACACGTGACTTGTACTTTTACGGGGGAGTGATGGGAAGAAGCCAATGTAGTGGGAAAACTGGGCGGGTTTCCCTGGCTTCATGTCCTAATTGTCAGTTATGTACAGTTTTACCGTGGTCAGCTATGGTCACTCTCGTGTTCCTAGTCATCTTTTATCGCCCCAATCTTGTCATAAACCCACGGTGTCATGTAGACCCATCTTGTTATACATGTCATGTGATACGTTTTGAGTACCTATAATTAGCCACTAGCTAATTTTCTCATGGAACTCTTCAACCACGGAGATACAAACAGTGTGTCACTAATTGTTTAATTGGATTACACGCTCCTGGTCAGTCTAAACAGAAGCAGTTGTCAGTTTATGAGTTTACTTCCACCACTTGATACTTATTTATTTATTTACTTTCTGTATGTAAACACTGGGTTCGATTTGCCATATTTATTGCCCGGTTTTCTGTTACTTACGTCAGTCGAGCTATAGTATAGTGTATGAGGCATATCGCGTTAGATACGCTATGTGTTGAAGCTTTTATATGTGCGATACACAAAGACCTGTAATATCAACCCAAACAAGCTTACCAAACATCACAGATGTATTAAAGAGGTCACAAAAAAAATAAACGTTTTACAAATCTGTTGATGTAATTATTAATTTTCATTTATGTTATTTTCAAAACTGTTATGCTGTTAATTTATGTTTCTGACAACTACCCATTTACATAGCTTCTATCATCATGATAAAACCTAACAAACGCGATTTGTTGAAAGGAAATTCCTCGTTTTGACATTTTATATTTTTGTAAACATTCTAAACACGTATTCCTTGTCAATTTGTTTAAACTTTATTTATTTTGCACAGAAAAAAATGTTGTTGTAGCACATTGAAAAGTATTTACATCTGTAAAGCATACGAACAGTGTGATATTAAATAAAATCGTATCGACTCTTGATACTCTTCGAAATCAATATCCGACGAACTGTACGCTTACCAGTGGCATTCGGCTTATTTGTGTTGGTTATAAGATGGGTCTATTTTCAAATGAAAGGGAGTTAGGTTTTACCTTGCATCGACGTGAAAGACAATACATATGTAATGTATATACAACCGTACATGTTGCATTTTCCTGAATGGGTTGTTTGTTTTTGTTTTTCGCACTATCAGAGACATATATGTTACAATTCTAATATACATCTTTGACTAACATGGCGGTTCCTCTAGATGCAGCTACTTACTATAGGCCCATCCTAAGCCTGAGCATATTTTAATCATTTACCACTTTAATTTTTTCTTTCATTTGCTTGTATTTATGACACGTTCAGCACTTCATTGATACTGGAAAGATGACCATAACGCTAAGGCTACCATTTGTGAATTGTATGGCAATAGTTGATATCTCAACCAAAAATAATACCATTGTTTTCACAATTTTATTTGAAAAATCACTGTCTTTATTTATGCACCAACCACGCAAATGTCTTTGTGCCATAAATAAATTGCATGTATAAAGATCGGTAAGCGCTATAGTGTGATCATCAAGTCGCCACGATGTTGACACATGAAGGTTGAAATTCACAGTTATATAAAAAAAAGTGTTTTATTTAAATGACTATATATTATATGTATCATTGACAGTACTTTCAATATGACAATAAAGATTGATTATTAATTGTTAATTATACTATAGAGTAATGTTATAACGTATGTTTTATTATATACAGGTTAATAAGATATGTTAGGGTACACACAAAATTATCTATACGATTTTTTTAATTCATATTATACCTAATCTGAATCATCTAAATTGACAGTCATCATTGTTTTCTACTTTGCAGCCATATGTATATATATCATCATTGTTTTAAGGGAGAAGACGTATTTGAACTTGTGGCTTATCCCATTTGTATTTTGCAAATAAAATGGGTTTAAATAAAAACAATCGGCATAATGGCACCTGCCTTCAGACGCTTATATTAACATTTAAATAACGATAACAATACCAAAAAAGGGCGAAGAATACACTTTATTTCGGCACACAATTACCACTTAAACTATTAATACTCATAATTTGACTTGACTTCTAAATTAAGTGACCATTACCAATCCAAGCAAAGTCATAACGCTTGAAATATGAGGATAAACAGGATAACCCTTAACTTTGATCTGATTCTGAGAATAATTCCGGTGGCTGTTCTTTCAGAAAAAAATCTGATTTAAGTAAAAAAATAACAAAATTTTAACGGGAACTAACTAGCAACTCTTTGTTTACATAAACGTCATCAGTTGTTTCTGACATAAATTAACTATTACTTGGACATGCTTGACCAGACAGTTCCCTTATCACTTGACCACTGGTGAGAACCACACTGACACTAATTGGTGCCCCGTGGTGGTCAATTTCACTGGCTAGTTAGCAATTGACTGGTAATTGATTTGAAGTCGTAGTGTGCTTTACATAAGTACGTATGGAAAATACCCGAGTGTTGATTGAAATATGTCAAATTTTATTGCTTTATAAAGAGAATTTATTACCGAGTGTTAAAAACACGCGCTGACGGTGTTCGAACCGTCAGTCCAGTGCTTCGTGTCAACACCACAATGACATGTATATAGTTCTGATTCGGAGTTTATGAAGAACAAGATAAACTACACTCTCATTCAGTCAGCCTAGTATTAAAACAAAAATCTCAACTTTTAGGACGTTCTTAATTCTTTGTAATCTGAATTGGTTTTTGAGGACTTACCCTCGAAGATAAATAACTATGATAAAACATGCATGAATTTCAGAAATCACATCATGACTTGTGAGAGTGGATGAATGTAAAATATTTTAACCCGAACATATGAGAGAAAATGAGGAGCTGAACAAGATTTTAGTTCATAACGTTCTCATAGTTAAAATGAAGATTTTTGGTGATACATGGATAAGATTTTATACTTAACTAAAACTTGAAATATAATTTTGCCTAGTCAAAATCAGGATTATCGGACACGAAACTGGATAAGAAATGTTAAACCTCATTTAAAGCAACAAACATATTGTAATTGAGCGATTAAAAGTGAATAAGCGCACTTAAACAGCCTAAAACTTTCAGACAATTTCAGCAGATTTACGAAATCTTTAAGTCCGTTTATCATTTACAGGCCGTATATATAATTTTATAACATGTTTTTTTCGTCTTTAAATCGCTTGATAAAAACAAACATAAAAATGACTGATGTCCACCGGTATAGATTTCCGACACAAAATCAAATTTCATAATGTTGAATCAGGTAAAGTTTTAACGTTTATCAATGTTGAACGGAAAACGTTTTTTTCATCTTAATCTAGTCCGACGTTAAATTAAAATCGCTCAACCAAATTAAAAATGATTTGTTGAACTTAATTAAGCTCAAAGTAATATTGGGCTTAACGTCAACATCAGTTTTAGATATACTTTGTAGAGCTTCTATTTACAATATATGGATTTAAGGCAAGTTGGTGTTTTTTGTGTGCAGAAAGTCTCTATGTATCTAGAAGAACGTTTCTGTTTACTTTGTAGAAAGTTTCTGTTTACTGGTAATAAGTTTCTGTTTACTTGTAGAAAGTTTCTGTTCACTTTGTAGAGAGTTTCTGTTAACTTTGTAGAGAGTTTCTGTTTACTTTGTAGAAAGTTTCTGTTTATTTTGTAGAGAGTTTCTGCAACTTTACAGTAGATAGAAAGTTTCTTTGAGCTTTGTAGATAGTTTCTCTATGTAAGTTTCTGTGTGCTTTTTAAATAGTTTATATGTACTTTGTAGTTCTGTGAACATAAGATTCTGTGTACTTTGTAGATGGTTTCTGTGTACTTTGTGTTTTTTTTGTGTACATAAGATTCCCTGTGTACTTTGTAGTTTCTATGTACTTAGATTTTGGGTTGGCTTCGTAGATGGTTTCTGTGTACATGAGATTCCGTGTTACCTTTGTAGATGGTTTCTGTGTACATGAGATTCCGTGTTACCTTTGTAGATGGTTTTTGCTTATTATATATAGATATTTTATGTGTACTTTGTGTATGGTTTCTATATAATTTATGAATAGTTATACTTTCTGCGTATTTGTCAACTGATGTCAGTGTGTAACTCCAGGTGTTTGTTTATATGTCTGCGATTCAGTGAATTTGTCTGTTTTGCGGTTTATACCACCCTGGCGCTCTTGGTTTGGAATTCGGCTGGTATTATCTTTGAGAAAAAGTGATTATTAACCAGAAATAAAACAGCACATTATTTCTTTATAAGCTGTAGGACGGGTCAACTTTCAAATCCAAGATTTCTTAGGTTTTACCTTGTATCTGCATGTAGGTCAACATATATACACCAAATAGAACAACCATTACCTTTCCCCGGATAAACGAATGAAGTGCATAAGAATGAAAAGTGATAGTGTTTTGACAAAATGAAGGTATTTTTTAGCGATGCAAGTCTGAAGCTATTTTATTTATCATCCTAGCGAGGAGCTATTTATAGAATTGTTGCGGTATGAAACGTTCAGAACTTTTCTGACAATGTAAATATGATCGAAGGATTTGCATATTTTTAAAATAATGAAATATTGACAAACAACAGCAACATAGAATCAATAAATGAAAAGACTATCAAGAAGAAAAAGAAAACGAAAAAGCACATCGTAAATTTAAATATTATATTGCACCCTTTATTATATCACAGAAAAAGCTATTTCAGGAAAAATCATGATCTATGAAAATTCATAGTTCTAACTAATTTGAGTAAGTCCATTGAGTTCATCATTTTGTCCCAATATTTTTAAATCAGTACTGTCTCTAAGTTCTTTTCGACCGGCAATCACCAAGGACGCCATACTGCTTCGTTGTTGTTATTGAGTTGGTCCATGTTATCATTTCCGGTCGGTGTGCTCCTTCCCGAGTTCATAGAACCGTTCAAATAACCCGGATGCTGTATGTGCTGCTGGCCGGATGTGACGTTATTTCCTTGACCTTGTCTTGCTGGCGACACGTTCATCATTGAATTTTCTTTGTTTATCTGATATTGTGACAGGCCGGATGTAACGTTGACTCCTTGACCTTGTCTTACTGGCGACACGTTCATCATTGAATTGTCTTTGTTTATCTGATAATGTGACAAAGATTCTGAAAATGTCATCTGTCCTGTTGTGTACACCGATTGCTGGCCCCGATAGGACATTGTTGCGTTTGCGTTTTGCGTTTTCAGCAAATAAACACTATTTTGATTTGGAATTGATCCCATATTTGACCCCGATACCGGAATATCTATAGATAAACCTTCTCCGTATGTCCTAGAGTTATACTCGTTTCCTTCTGTTCGAGATTCAGTAAGTCGGCTGTTCATCACTCGAACGCACCTGGTCAAGTGATCACTCAGCCTCGATTTCACATCAGGTGTCGCTCCTTCTTCGTTACCTAGGTAACGCATCACCTCGGTTGCGCACTCGTTGAACCCCGTCCTGTATTTGTTTCGCCTCATATCAGTTGTGGAGTCAACACACTGCTGCTGTTGATGTTGGGTATTACGTAAATAATTTACTGTCATTTCCAAGATGTCTGCCTTCTCTAGTTTCGAAATCTGTGCACTCTGCAAAAATATAAGAAAACGAATGAATTATTTTTACGAAATGATAACTTGACGATGGAACTTAATTGTCCAGAAATATCCTACTAAAATTAAATACGATATCATTCAGTTCTGTCCACAAGATCATGAACATTTTAACATTACATATATGTCACCAGATACGAAACTACCAGAGCATCTCTGATAAATCGGTACTGTACGGTTAAAAACCAAAGGACCGGGAAAGCCTTATACCCAATTTTCACGAATTGTTATCGTTCTAACCCCAGACGACAATATTGTGCTCTATAAATTACCTCTCCACTAGAGATGTTAACAAAAATGGTTTGTATCCGATTTTTTCGTGCGATTAGTTATTGACAGAACTGCTGTAGTAAACAAGACCAGTTCCAGTCTACATGATAATTTTCTTGCCTGTGGACTCGAGCAAGTCTTGAGTTTTGTTGATTTATGGCCAATGGGCACACATTGCGTGGCCTTGCTCACTGATAATTAGTGAGACTGAGTAATCGAAACGTCTAAATATTGGTTCGGTTTGTCTAGAAAAGATAACAGGTAACCCAGAGCACTCAAATATTTTGTATGCGTATGTCATTATAATAAGATATCCATAAGGCCAATACAGAAAGAAAGGATGTTGCAGCAGCCGTGTTTGGACCTTAATTGATGTCGATGTGTTCAGAGTATTATTTGACGTTTTAAATTTTTAGATTAACTCTTGGTGAAGTAATCCCCCCTCCCTCCCCTGTGAAAGTATATACTAGGTTTATATACCCATGCGATTTCTGTGGAAAGAGTAGACGCAAAGAAGCCACTGCGAAGCGTTCGAGGCCACATCTTTTTTTCTCTCCTACCCGCTTTCTATTCTAAACAGTTTAACTGGCTTCCCTCGCTCTATCTTAACCGTGCTACTGTCCTTAATGAACTTATTGTGTTGATGGGCCATTAAACCAGTAAACCACAATCAAACAAATTGGACCCAAAAAGCACGAGAGTAGATTAATGTACTTACATCACGTTTCATAGCCTCCAGAACGAGGCTCTTGAGTTGTGTGAGACAGTGATTAATCCGAGCTCGCCTCTTTTTCTCCATCATTGGTTTGTTAATCTGCAAAACAGAATACGACAATGAAAAAAACCCATCTAGCGCATCACAGAATACCAAATAACTGTATAACACATTTTCACATCCCCCCCCCCCCCCCCCCCCCCATAAAAAGTAAGGTTGTTCCAGGAATCGGATAATCTGTTTCTCTCATATTACGGTGGTAAATAGGGACGAGTTGACCACGGAATTAGTTCTGTCTGTCAAGTTCCATGATGTAACCTCTCGCACGTGCGATATCACTGTCAGCATGTTAGGCAATTCAAAATTTATTTCAGCTAAGCGATTCGTGAATTCTGCATGTCATTTATAGCAACATTTTTTGATAATGCTATGTATCAAAAGGTAAAATTACGCGAAATTATTTGCATAGGTCTCTGTTGAAATAAAGTTGAATGAACCTAAAGATATATATTAACGTTATTGTACCAAAACACCAATTACATACGTCAGACGTGTATATGTTTATTTATATCTATTTCCATTCCGTGGCATAGTTGGTAGAAAAATATAATTACCTTTCGCAACGAGTCGTCCTTTTTTGGTGTGTACATTTCCGAATCCGAAGACATCTTTGCAAATCCCAAGTTAATAAAAGTTCCAATATTTCAGTGTTTCAATGTAAAAGTCACAAATTGTTCTGCTTGTAACATTGAATCACCCGCAATAAATAGCCAGGAATCGGTACAGCCATTCCCGTACAACGGACCAATCACCAGCCAGCTTACATAACCCCTGTGGCGGAGTATTCTTTCCTCATTGGTTTAACAAAGGGAATCCCCGCCATGAGCGTGGATGGTGTTTACCTAGGTTTTCGGCTGTCAAAGCCACGCGACCTGTGTCAGCAAATAGCCACGCCCACTGTGATGACCAACAGCGGGTAGCATTGGAATTACGGCCCCAGTTCTACTCGATCGCCACATCGAGTGCCTGTGGAGATTTTACAATGCAATCAAAATGCCATCACATTTTATTAATCGGAAAATTAACGCCCAGCAAGAGGTCCGCTAAAACGGTCACTCAGTCAAGTAAATTTACGTCAGTTTTAAAGGGGAATTTGCAGGCGTTGGACATGTTTAAATGGAAATGACGTCAAGGGTTGTACATAGTTAAGCGCTCCCACACACATATATAATGTTTATAATTAAACTCCCCTTTAGATTTTTAGCTTGACTATATGACTGACGACAAAAAGAAAAAAAGAAATCCGAAAAAAAAAAGATATACACATAATTTTTCCGTTGTATTCGTGAACTCATAACGATACCGTACCTTGTCTCCTTCTTAATTTCCTGCATATAACATATACCTGTCGTATTATTTTTAACTCTAGATCATAAATAATTTCAAAGTCATAGGTTGTATAATATTTTTTTCTCGATTTTATTAATCTAAAACAACAAACCTTACAAGTTATAAACTATACACGACGTTTAATATTGTTGTTAGCGTCTTGATATAATTTTGAATTTATCTACATAAGGCTTGCGTTTCGCTGTAATTTTATACAGAATGCCAACAAGTTTCGGTATCGATGGACCAAAATTGTCAAAACGGAAATTTAGACAAAACCGTGATGTAGGATGAATATAAACCGCGTGGGGAGCACCAATGCCTATGTCTATTACAAAACTGCCACGGTATCGCGTTACGTTTTAATGCTATTTACCGTGGTGGCAGAATTCTCTTGTAACCTACCTCGCGGTATCTATCATAATTTATGCATGTATTTACATGTTTATCATCATTTCATACTTGTCAAAATCAAGTGCATACAAATTCGTAATTATCCTTGCCGTAACCAAGCAACGCACGTGCAAAGATTCACGTTTACGTATGCAACGTGTATATATTGTATTACATGTCGAACAACAGCACGTGCTAAATTTATGCTAATAACGCTCGTCAGTGTCCAGTCTTGACCACTGCTGACGGTACACTGACAGTAAACAGATGCTAATTACCAGCAGTCTAACTCCGAAGTTGAGCGGTCAGAATCAAGATACGGCGATTGCAGGAGTTGTCATACCTCCAAAATGACCGGTGTCAAATATATTGTGAATATGCAGAGCCTTGTATCTGTCCGAAGTGGCATTTGTTGATAAATTAGGATTACACTGAATAACTTGACGAAAATGCTAGATTTCTTTAAAGAAATTAATAGATATGTTTATTTTTTTTGCGTACTCGAGGATGTCATGACGTATAATTCTATCTCCCATCCCAACCTCCTTCTCTTTTCGCCTCTACTCATAAACACAAACGAATTACTGCAGGTTTCTTTTTCAAATATGAGAGTTGTAACATCAAAATGTCTTCAGTATCATATGTATTTTATTAGATTGAAATACCAAAGTGTATATCCCTACCATTGTTTGATAATATGGGCGTGATACATGATAAAATAAGCACAAGGATGTGTGATAAGAGATGATAGCTATGTTACATAAAAAATCCCAGTTATGAAACTGAATTATTCAAAATGTTTCATAATATATGTTTTAAAAAGAAGACAGAGTACTTTAAAACTTACATTTAATTTCACAAATAAATCCGTAAAGGTCTCGTTACACGATGAAACTGCTGTTTTTTCTGCTCCTTTTGTAAAAGTATGGAGAAGCGTAAAACATTTTCTTTAGCAACTAAAATTAAAAGAATAATAATACAGCCCACCAACACATTTACTAAAGAAATCAATACATATTTTTGGTATATGCATCCTATAGAAGTTTGCAGATATTGGAACTAGAATGTGAATGAAACAAAAATCAGAGTTTATTGTTTAACTGCTTTTTACAACACTGCCGTTTGTTTATAAACAATAACAGTGTTTGTTTCAATGTAACTCAAAGAAGTGTACTCAATATTGAAGGATTGACCTTCATTTTTACGGAGTATACGGTAGTATGAACGCAGTTTGCAACGAACTAATTCTATGATGCGCATAAGTATATAATCGTATACGCGGAAAATGAAACAGTGATGTAAAATTGTATGTATACGCGATACAAGGCTATTTGTACTTCATTTCAATGATAAACACCTTCAAATAAAATATTTTAGTAGCGGTATTCTTTATTGAAACCGGATGGTATTCTTGGATTTTTATTCAATTCGCCGGAACATACTTTGTTTTGATAACAGTGCATTGTAACGTGAAAAGGACACACTTCAAAATCACCATACAAGGATTTTGGTAAGTCAACAATCTTAGGAAACAATTCAATTGGCGCGTGCGTCTATCGGGTCTTAACATCTAAAAGGTACAAGGTCATCCGACAAAGGAAATCCTGGATACGCCGATCCCGTAAATAACCATACTGTTTACCGGCGATTACATACGGATAAGCAAACAGATACTTATCGGCCAATGCCCGCCATCTTTCTCTCATCTAGTCACGCGAACAAGCAAACAATGTAGATAATAGATAAATATTTATCCAAGATTTATCAGGAGTGTTAATCACAAAAATATTGCTCCAATTTTCTAGAAAATCCACTTTTTACAGGTGATTAACACGTGTGTCCAAGGAGATCAATAAATCGATATTATCACAGGTAAGTTTGGCGGCCCGTGTGATGTCTTTGTTCCACCTGTCGGAGCGTACAGGTACATTTCCTAAATAGGGGTTTCAGAAAACAATTACTCCGTACCTATTATCGCCCCAGCGCCCTCTATACGCGCCCGCGGTTCCTTTGAGGGGACAGCACAAGTGCCGTTACAGATAAGCCCCTAACACTTACTCGAGAAGTAGGTGTGAATGGCGAGGACGGATCCTTTGGGAGCTACTGGTCTTTGTCACGCTTACAATACACCCTTGATCGGTCATTTTACGACCGGTACAATGGGAAATCGGAACTGTGGGAAAGTCAGCTAACGTTCCAGACACTTGTAGTTGTAACGTCGTTTTTCATGATCCTCCGTACATAAATATCCGGCTTCCAACGTCCGTTGCTGTGTCTATATTTTTACAGTGTTGTTTGGCCCAAACATGACATAATTGTCGATGGGATGTAAACAATACAAAAACGAACAAAACAATCACTACTTGCCTTTACCCTTTGTTGACATGTACATGTCTGTCTGACGTGCACCTGCAAAGCTTCATATGTATCAATTATATACTTTTATCGCGAACAAATATTATTTAGGCTTAGTGTTAACATTTTCATAATCGCGGAAAAACGCAAGCACACGTTCCAGCATTGAGGCTTCAAGTTTAATATAAAATTTGTTTCAATAATTGTCATTTCTTTAATTGATTGAAACATATGTTATTACGTCAAAAAAGCAATCGAATTGGACAAAATTTATAACAATACCACAAAGACCCTTTACACAACGTTAACTCTTTTATCGTGACTAATTTAGACCAAGAATATTACATATTACAGATAACGATGAATATGATTTTGCATGAAACAAAAGAATTACACGTAATGTCAGAAAATCTATTAAGGAAATACTGAGAGTCCAAAAAAAAAAAAAAAAATGATATAAAGTGCAATTTGCTATCATTTTACCGAAACCTTTCGCTTGGTTTGAAGCAATTTTTGCACATTTCTGGAAATAGTAGATTTCATTGGTTTCTACCGACAGGTCTTCATGTTCAAGGAAAAGCAAGACTGTGTCAAAAACAACATTCAGTGTGTAGGCATTAGTTATCTAAAATGGATTAAGTCTCATGGAAAAGAAATGAAAAAATAGAGAAATCTCGGTAGTAGAATTACAATTGATATTTTGATTCTATGTGCTAGTGCAGCCAAGTTTTCTTTACGCATTAAAAGTATTGGCTTCAAAAAGATAGATTAACCTTGGAAAATTTACTTGCAATTTTGAAAACTCATTTTAAACGTTAAATGTAGTACAGGTGAAATAGGCAGATATTAACTTATCATTGAATGCAAACACACAACGATTATGTTTTGGTATGCACTGCTAGTTTGATACCTTCAAATAAGTTGGCTACAGAATTGCACATACATTGCAGTACAACTTGAATGTACAAAACTGTCAAAATGCAGAAATATCTCGTTTCAGAAAAGTTTCTTTTCGTTTCCGTTTTTACGCATGTGACGATAATGTTTATTACTATCGCATACTAATATTAGTTTTACTCTTCCTGATAAACGAGTCAAATTAATACAAAAAATAGGACGAGTTGGTTATTTAAAATTTACTGTTATCTAGTGGTTTCTGCTAAACTTCTTCTCTTCTTCTTCTTCTTCTTCTTGACCTTTCATTTTCAGATCGGTCAACGGCCTCTGATTCGTCGAAATTAGATATTTTTCAATTTTGCTCATGTGCAAATGTTTACATGAAGGAAAGAATAGCCTAATTTAGTATAAACTATATATTTTTTTTCCATTTTTTATCCTAATAATATATTTGCATATACGAATAGAAAATAGCTGATCTTAGTCACGTACTATTATAGGCACTGAGTTAAAATTTTCCAGGTAGCAAATATTTTAGTAGAGTAAACTACATGCACACTAAGAGTTTTTACTTTATTTAATGACCAAATGATTAGAGGTTGAAAAATGTCGTTTACAGTTATAGGGTTTATCAACATTTGAACAACTGGGACAAGAACTTATGAACGTGAATCCAATTATATTTTGTTGTGATAAAATAGATATAA